TTTTTTATCATAATATTTATTTTTATAAAATATTATAAAATATTAAATCTAGATCATTGGAGTTTTGATCCAATAGTTGTGAAGAGAAAAAGAGGGTGGTGGAGGGGAAGAGGATGGGAAGAACAGTGGAGAGGATCCAATTCCAAGACCGAGAACGAGTTTACAAGTCCTCGTACCTGCAGCCTCAGATAGAAATTATGGAAAGACAATAATGCCCCTTACAAATATTTTAAAATAGAAGAAAAAAATAACTGGCGTTCCAAGGCCAAGATAGAGACGACGAAGCAAAATTGTATTTCTATCAGAGAAAAAAAATAAAAGAAAAAATAACTAGGGCTCAAAGAAAGTCCCGGGGGCGATTGGATATCCATTTAACATTGCTCGACTTATCTGAAAAAGTATGGCAAATAAGCATCCTATGAAAAGCAAAGCAAGACCTGATTAAACATAATTGAGATTAAAATATTAAAAGAAATCAATGGATAGGCGAAGAGAGAACCCGAAAAGAAAAACATATTTTGTATAAAAAAATCAATATAAGAGTGCGGTGAACAAATCAATTACTGAACACATATCAAATGGACGAATGATTTGGTATAAAATAATGGCGATGCTGCGGTATAAAATATTTCCTCAACGCATATCAAATAATGAAGATGCTGCATTTAATGGAGATGATGCGGGGAAAAAAAATTTGTAGAGTGAAAGCAAAACTTACTGGTGATGCTGCGTTTAATGGCAAGAACAAGGGAGAGAACGATGAAGAGAGCAACTCAGCAAATCTGGTAATGGCAAGAACAAGGGAGAGAACGATGAAGAGTAAGAGTGAGCAGCTTTCAGAAGGTTAAACTTGTCCAAAATTTATTATAAGTGGGGATATTTTTGTCTTCAAAATTTTCAATCCCAGGTTTTAAAATACAATACTAAGAGAGGAGGTGGGTTTGCCCAATCCCACCTAAGTGGTAATGTGCAATCCTTGGGCTTCTTTAATACTACCTACCAAACATGCTTATTTGACTGATTCCCTATTCCAACCCCTGTCCCATGTCTCCAGTACTGCGTACCAAACGTGGCCCTAGAGTCCAGCTTTTCCCTGTGCACACACGATGTGTGTTTTTTTCCTTTACACCAGAGTCCCGCTTTTAAACCAAAAAAGAATTTGCCAACCAATTTAATAAAATAATTTTATTAAATTCAACATAATACCAATAAATATACTCTACATTCAATTTTCAATCATATTCCCATTATTTTTCTTAATTTTATGTTTTCAAAAATATATGGCCTGTTTGTTTCTGTTTTTTATTTTTTATTCTCAAAATAATTTTATATAATTATTTTTTAAAATAAGTTTCAGAAAACACAAAAAAGCTGGATAATTATTCTAAAAAAATACATTTAAAAATAAAAATACTAAGATCAGAGAGTGAAACTTCGAGAAGAACTTAAGTCCTCAAACAGAGGAAAAGCCATCGAGGATTTTTTTTAATTCTCAAAATATTTTTAATATAATTATTTTTACTTAGTATTTTCTTTATTTTTTTTATTTACTTTCGTTTTTGTATTTTTTTTTGGAAAACAAGAAATTATCCAGGTTTTTTGTTTTTTCTAAAAATATTATTTCTTCTTCCCTCGATGTCTTTTCCTCTGTTTGAGGACTTAAGTTCTTGTCGAAGTTTCACTCTCTGATCTTAGTATTTTTATTTTTAAATGTATTTTTTTAGAATAATTATCCAGATTTTTTGTGTTTTCTGAAACTTATTTTAAAAAATAATTATATAAAATTATTTTGAGAATAAAAATAAAAAACAGAAACAAACAGGCCATATATTTTTGAAAACATAAAATTAAGAAAAATAACGGGAATATGATTGAAAATTGAAAGTAGAGTATATTTATTGGTATTATGTTGAATTTAATAAAATTATTTTATTAAATTGGTTGGCAAATTCTTTTTTGGTTTAAAAGTGGGACTCTGGCGTAAAGGAAAAAAACACATGGCGTGTGCACAGGGGAAAGCTGGACTTTAGAGGTGAAGGGCGCCTGGTTAAGGGGAGGATTGGGAAAGAGAAGAACGCGGTTTACGATGAGGCAGGTAGGTTGTAGGTGCAAGGACTTCAGTGAGAACGAGTTTCTTGCATATTCAAAGTCGTTCACAGAGTGAACAATTTTTTTTTTTTTTGAGTAAAAAACTGGATACAGAACTAGATCAGCAAGTCAATACAAAACAAAGAAAAGAAGCTTAACCTCCTACATCACCTTCCACCTCTTGGTAAAAAGGGGGAGGTTGATCAAGGATCCTAAAAGAAGTATCAAGGCTATGGGACAGATTAGCTAGATAGTCAGCTAAATGGTTTTCCTCCCTATACACATGGTACAACAAAACCTTCCAGTTTTGGTTAACAATAATACGGGCATCATCAATGACATCCTTAAAAGGGTGTTGGTCATCACAACCTCTGGTGACTAGGTTGATTGCCTCTAAACTGTCAGAAAGGAGTGAGACTTCTCTGTAATTTCTGTTCCAGCACATGTTAAGGCCATGAATAATGCCAATTACCTCCGCAATCGCAGGTGGAACATTAGTAAGCTTGCAGCTGAATCCACAGATCCAATTACCTGCTCCATCTCTTATGACTCCACCACATCCGCTTCTACCATCCTGCAGTACCGATCCATCAACCTCCAGCCTGATCTCTCTACCCACATCTCTATTGCTTTGCCTTTCATTTATTCCATTGAGGTTGTAAAACTGGCACTTTTCTAGTAGGTCTTGATCAAGGCAAGCTCTAAAAAAGGTAGACATCCCATTGCTTGGACTATTAGTGCTTGTTGTATTAAAGAGCCGGTTACACCTATCCACCCAAATATCCCAACAAATGTAACCAAAGAGGGTGGCCCAAGGAAGTTTCTTAGTATGATCAGCTCCTGCTTCCTTTGTAAGATTCCATGTAACCCACTCCACTCCTTGTTTAGAAAAGAAGCTTTCCCACATTAAGGGCTTGATTACACATTTCCATCTTTCCTTAGCATTGACACACTCACGAAGAAGGTGCATAGCGTTTTCTACTTGGTTGCACCCAAATGGACAGCTCTCATCTGGTTGAAGTCCCCTGCTCACTCTTAGTTGCGCCGTGTGAATTCTATTGTGGCAGAAGAGCCACATAAAAGTTTTGATCTTCTCCGGAATTTTCCATCGCCATAGGTGTCTCCAAACGCTTTCCACTGGCTGGCTAGTACCTGCAGAAATAAAAGAGTAGGCAGATTTAATAGTAAAGGTCCCGTCGGTGGACGGTTTCCAAGTAAATTTATCCTCTCCTCTCTCCTCACGGGGTGGGTGCGCACTAGAGATCCGATCCACAATATGAGGGTGGAACCAGTAAAGTAGCTTCTGTCTATCCCAATCTCCCCCTGACTCCACATAATCAACCACACGCTCCTTTGTATCAATCATCGCTTCTAGCCCAGGAATAAGGTCAATTAGAGGGGTGTTGATGTCAGACCAATTATCCAACCAGAAAGAAGTCGAACATCCATTACCTATTTTCCTGCCAACTCCTACCTTAAATTGCTTCCAAACTTCACATATACCTCTCCAAGTAAGAGAAGAATTCTGATGCTTCTTCACATCTGGCATAGCACAGTTCCCACAGTGGTATTTTGATCTTAAGACTTTGACCCACAAGGCTTCCTTTTTGTTGAGAAGGTTCCAACAAATTTTCATGATGTAGGCTTCATTTTGCTTTCTTAAGTTCTTAATGCCGAGCCCTCCTTCCTTCTTACCCTGAAGAATTTGATCCCATGAGACAAGATGCATTTTCCTCTCTTCCTCATTCTCTCCCCATAAGAAACTCCTGCTTTTTTGCTCCAATTGACCCAAAAGCCTTTTAGGGAGTAGCCGTGTCTGCATATGGTAGGAGGGAAGAGCAAAAAGAACTGCTCTAACTAGCACTGTTCTTCCAGCCAGATTGAGACAATTGCGTTTCCATCCAGAAAGTCTTCGTTGAGCTTTTTCCACCAAGGGGGCAAAGTTAATATAAGAGGCTCGCCCATGGATCAAGGGAACTCCCAAGTATTTACCCAAGTCTCCAGTAAGCCCGACTTCCATTTTCTGGCTTAATTCTATAGCTCTGGAGAAGTGTACATTTTTGGAGACACACAACTTCGTCTTCGTCTTGTTCATATTTTGTCCTGAAGCAGCACAAAAGGCATTCATGCACCCCATCATAGCTTCAACTTGAAAGCTGCTTGCTTCGCCAAAGAGAAAGAGGTCATCAGCAAAGAACAGGTGGGAAATGTTAGGTCCTCTTGAATTCAATTTAATCGGAGCCCAATCACCATCTTCAATAGCATCAAGGATAATGTGGTTCAGCCTCTCCATACATAAGGTAAAGACATATGGAGAGATTGGATCCCCCTGGCGTATTCCTCTCGTTGGTGTAAAGCTATCTGTTTCTTGACCATTCCACAGAATTCTGAAAGAAGAACTAGTAATGCAAGCCTTTATAACTTCACAGAGCTTTCTATTCACACCAACAGCATGAAGGGTGTCTTCAATAAAACTCCACTCAAGCCTATCATAAGCTTTTTCCAGATCTACTTTAACTGCCATCCACCCTACTTGCCCTTTCTTAAGATTCATTGAGTGTATAACCTCTTGGGCAATAATAATTTGTCTGTCACTATTTGTCTTCCAGCGATGAAGCTACATTGATGGTGTCCCACCACTTTCCCCATGATCGTTTTCAGGCGGTTACTGATAATCTTTGTGACAATTTTATAGCTCACATTGCAAAGCGAGATGGGTCGAAAATCTTTGAGCTCTTCAGGATAGTCACTCTTCGGGATTAGCACTAAGTTGGTATTATTCAGTGCCTCTACCCTTGAAGGATCATTAAAGATTTCTCGAACCATATTGCAAACGGTGTGTCCAATAACATGCCAGTATTCATGGTAGAAAACAGCTTGAATACCGTCTGGGCCAGGAGCTTTGAAAGCCCCTAAGTCGAAAGCTGTGCCTTGATTTCTGTATCACTGACCTCTGCAGACAAAAGAAGATAATCCCCATCAGAGAGTAATGGAAAGCTGTGCCTTGTATGAAGAGAGGGAGCCCCTGTTAAGCTACTCTGAAATAGCTTCTGATAGTAGTCTTGGGCCATTCTTTTCAGCTCTTGTTGATCAAAGATCCAATCACCCCTTGAGTTCTTAAGACCTTCAACACGGTTGCGCCTCCTATGTATGATAGCCGAAGAATGAAAGAATTTGCTATTCTTGTCCCCCCACTTTAACCAATTGCATCTAGACTTCTGAAACCAAAGAAGCTCTTCCTGGGCCAATGCCTTGTTATATTCCTTCCATAGCTCCTTTTCTGTCTGAGCAAGATACTGGTTGTCCCGTCGTCGCCTCTTCTTGTCTACTTCTTCAATTCTCTTCATCAAGCTATTTTTTTTAGCAGGTATATTCCCCACCCGTCTCTTGTTCCATTCTCTAGCTTCATGAGTAAATAAAGCAATTTTCTCGTTCCAACTTCCCTCTTTCCAGCATTGGTCAACCACATTGATAAAGTCCTCCTCTAGAAACCAAGCTGCCTGGCATCTAAAGGCTGGAGTATGTTGCCTTTCCCATCTATCTGGTGAGTTTCTGATGAACAGAGGTCTATGATCTGAACCGAATTTGCACAAATGGTGGACCTTGGTTAAAGGGTATCTCTGAAGCCAAAGATCATTTGTGAAAGCCCAGTCAATCCTCTCCTTCAGTATGTCTCTTTCCCAAGTAAATCTGTCCCCCACACAGTCAACTTCTATCAAATGGGTTTGTTGAATGCAATCATTAAACTGTCTCATCGAAGTTACATTAAGGTGATCACTGCCCTTCTTATCGGCATTAGAAAGATAAGCATTAAAGTCACCGATTACTAGCCAGGGCTCCGACATAGATCTACTAATGTGAGTGAGGTCATGCCAAAGAGCAGTTCTTAACTGACAAGACGGTTCAGCATAAATGCAGGATAACCAGAAAGAGTGATTTGAATTTACCATAGATACTCGGACGTGTAGAAGTTGGGTAGTAGAAGACTCATAGTGAATATTGACTTCATCATCATTCCACAGAAGCCAAATACCACCTGCGTAGCCTGTTGCTTCTACCCGAATCCAATTGTTGAAGCCCAACTTCTTCATTATACGATCTGCCTTCACACCGCTAACTCTCGTTTCCACTAGGATCACAAGATTAGCTTGTTTTCCTTTGAGCACATCTCTGAGTCTAGCTGGAAAAGATTTTGAGGCTGCACCTCTGCAATTCCAGGAGAGTAAATTCATAATTAAACAAGTAAAAGAGAGGGGGGTGACTCAGATACGTCCCTGACGTCCCAAGATTTCTGGCGTACCATCCTCTCCTAAAGCATCATCGCGCACCTCTTCATTTGTCTCATACCATTGGTCATTGATTTCATGATTTTCACGTTCAAACTGAGCCATGTCTCGACTTAACGAGGGGTCAGGTGGTTCTTTCGGACTACTTAGTATTTGTTTTTCCAAGGCTTCATGATTCATATTTGTTGTTACATGGGTGGGTTTATTACTTATGGTACCAACGTTAAAGTTAGCCTGTTCCTTCCTTTCATTTCCCCCATTCAGACTTCCTTTCCCAAAGTCCAATGGGCCCTTCTTCACTAATGACCCAATAATGACTTGAAGGTCACGGCTTGTTTGCTTCTTTTTCATGACAGGAGAGACTATCTTGGGCCTGGTCGCTTTGCTTCTCTTAATACCCCCTATACGTTTCTTTTCACTGGGAGTGGATCGGCCATTCGGGCCCAGCCCATCATTACCCTCTTTAGGTTCTTCAACCCGAAATTCTTGTAGGCTAGGCTCCGGTTCCCATGCATTATCTCTCCTTCTTGATGAATCATCACTGTCATTGTTCCTTGCATTTCCTTTCTCTTCTTCTATTCCGTCACTCTCCCCCCTTCTCTTTCCGCTAGGTTCGTCAGACTTTGCAGTGCCTTGCCCATTCATTTGACCGTTGCTCATCTGCTTGCTCTTCTCCTTAGGGACAGAAGCACGTTCCCTTTTCTTTCTCCACTCAGTAACAGGTACTGTTTTCTTGCTAGGTTCCTTCTTCTCAGTCGTAGGTTCAGAGGCTTCCATATCCTGCAAAATGTCAAATCTTGAGCCAGGTCCTGATTTCTTCTCTTTCATGGTATTCTTGTTTCCCATAGCTTGGTCCTGTGAGTGCTTTTTACCTGGTTCGATCTTTTTTCCTTGATCTGTCTTTGATTTCTGCCTAAAGGTTTTCTTTGCTTGCATCCAGGTTCCGTACATCTCTTCAATCGAGACACCAGGTACACTGACTGGGGATTGACTCTCTACCTTTTTGTCTTTTGTTGAACTGGGTTGGTCGGTCGGCGGGTTCTCTTCCGGCGGCATCACCTTCATTTCCACCGTCACAGGACAAGCTTCTTGGTTGTGCCCATACACTCCACACCTGAAGCAGATAGTGTCTAATCCTTCATACTCAACCGTATATATCGTCTTCCTGAGGACGAATTTTGATTGAAGCTGTCTATTGAGGTCGATTTCCACACTGACGCGTGCGAACTTCCCCCTCTCCACTGCCGTGTTCTTGTTGTTGCAGTGAGCCAAGGTATTTAAATCTACCTTCAAGGCCCTTCCAATTAAATTTCTCGGCTCCAACATACATTCTTCAGAGTAGCAATGCATAGGGAGGGTTGGAACTCTGATCCACACTGCGAGCTTTTTCACCTTATTGCAGTAGGGGTTGAAGTTCGGACTCCATTGTTGAACTGCTAAGTAGTGACCCTGAATAACCCATGGGCCATCAAATAACAGTTTTCTGCATAAATCTTTCTCCTGCGACCTGAACACGTAATAGTTGTTCGACAGATCAATGATTTCGAAATTTCTTGATTTCAGTAGCCAAGAAACCCGATCCTTTATCATGCTTAAGTTTGTCTTCCTTCCCAGCAGAGTAAGGATTAACGCATCCTTCCATGGTCTGCAAAGCTCTTTTAAACGTTCATTCGGCATGTTTAGCTTCGGGAGTTTTTCAAATAGTAGTCTCTGTTCTTCAGATAAAACAGGGGCATATTCCTCTTCTTCCTTCAACCATTCCTGCATTTTTTTTTCCAGGTCTTGGTCGAAGCTTTCCTCCTGTAGACCAGTGAGTTTTTCCCTATACGATATTTGACTTCGTGTCTCCCTCTTCACACCTACGGGCTCCTGTGTTGATTGTCCTCTCAGTCCCTGTTCAAACCGCTTCATCCATGTTGCGTCATTTCCGTTCTCCTGCGTATGCTCTGTAGGATCTAGTTCCCGGTCTTCCATGGCAGCATCTTCATCCATTTTCTTGATATTCCTTCTAAGAATCTCATCTTCTTCCTTCGAAAGTTCCTTCCCTTCCTCCGGAGAAGTTCCAGAGTTGGTGGAAGGACCCCTGTGCGCACCCTTTCTCTCACACACTTTCTCACTCATCGCAACCTAAGGTCAGAGTGAACAATTTTAAGTGCAGTGTTTAAGTAAATATTTTTTAACATGTAGCATTTTGATATTTTGTTTTACTATGTATAGCATTTCCGTCAAAAAAACCTAAAATTTTAGAGGCGGACCGCATTTTTCAAGGTACACGCAACGAGAGAAGTTTCACATTAATTGGACGTTTGGATCGCCGTGAATGGGCTTTGGAAGTGATAACGGCACAAGAACTGGATAGAAAAAATGTTGGCGGAGCATGACACTAAGGTCTCATGCAACACAAAATACTACAAAAAAGTCTCAGGAAATTTGATAATAATTCTGAAGTCCCAAAGAGACTTGAGTGCAATTTGCTGAATTGTAAAAAGACGCCTCTGCCCTTGGTCAGATGCATCTAAACTAACTCAAAGCTGCCCTGTTTTTCAGTCTGAAAATCAGCACTCTATACGCAGGAAACAAGAGAGAAAAAGCCCAAACTTTATTCTGCTTCTTCCCCCACTCCCATATGAAAATCTCATCTACTCTATTAATGTTAATCATTGGCAAAAATTGCTTGTATTTTTGGTTTGGTGTGTGTTTGGTCATTCAAGTTGGAGTTTTATTATAAGTGGGTAGGGTGATTATGGGTGTTCTGTTTCTGGGTATATTGTGGGTGGATTGAAGGTAGGCTTGCTCTGTCTGGGCATGGTTCAGGGGTAATTGATGAGAAAGATGAACGTTGGTGTGATTAGAAACCCTTACTGCGAAATAAGAAAATATGTTGTCAATAGGGCCACGACAGTTGTCAATATAGCTCCTTGACTTGTCAATAATGACAGCATTGTACAGATTTACATTAACTGATTTTTTAAAATTTTTTACACAAAGGCCATGACCTTCTGTACCCTTGACTCATTGGTAGAGGTCATAAAAAGAGGAAGAAGACACAACAAAGAAGGGTGAGTAGTTACATGAGGCAAAAGGGAAAAAAAAAGCCACTTTGATCCTAGACAAATGATGGCAAAAGAATTTTTTTATAAATAGAAGTGACATAAATTTTTTTTGTAGATGTCACAACACACACAAATAATTAGTTTAATACTGAATACATGCAACTATATGTTTTTTTTAATGGGGTTATAAAATCAATGTAATTACATGTATATGAAGTTGTAAATGAAAGTTAGCTGTGTATTACATTCTGATGCATAGTTAGTTGTCATTATCCGCACCTTTCATTGTCATAATATGCTTCGTCACTTGTCACTCACTGCACCATCAGATGTCAATTAATGTGCTGATATAAATTTAAAAGAAAAATATGATTTTCATTACATAATGTTATACAACATCATACAATATCACTAATTCCTCAAAACTAATCCATTTTTTATAATATGATGTAGAATAGTTATTAAAAGTCAATCATCACTTATATGAAGTCATAAAATCACTTGTCATGAATAACATATTCACTTGTTAATGGTTTTGCTCTGTTTTGATGTTAGTTTAGTAGCAAAGGAATAAAAAGATGAAGGTTAGTGTGGGTAGAAACTCTTAGCACGAAATGGGATATTGTGTTGTCAATCAGGCCGCGATAGTTGTCAATGTGTGCCACGACAGTTGTCAACGTAGCTCCTTGACTTGTTCATGACAGTTGCGTGATTCTTGATGTAGGTTTAAATTACTGATAGCGAGTACATCTGGAAAGCATCTATTTTGCTTTGTTCACATAGGGAGAAAGTTTATAAATGATAGAAAAGATGATATGAGATATGTGAGAGGTAGTGTAAGAACAATAATATAAAGGAGGGCAAAAGTTATGAAGAATTGAAAGAAATTATATCATTAATTGTTAGAAAAGAAAGTAACTCATTTCTTTTGAAATTCTCAGTTGTCTATAGCTCAACAGCATCCAGCGTAGAAATTAATAACCTGAGTTATCCAAAATAACAAGTAATATAAAAGAAGTTAATAACAAGTGATATAACAATTTCATAACAAATGAATGTGTAGATATTAATAATTAATATTCAAAATTTTTACAACTGAAGGTGTCATTATTTATAATGTTAAGTGATATTTGCATTAAAATATAATTATTAAGAAGAAGGTGTTACTCAAATTTATGTTCAATTGATAAGAGACAGTGCTTTTATTAACAAGTCATAGTACTCTATTGGCAAGTCACAGTGCCACCATTAACAAGTCATAGTGCCACTATTGATAAGTTAGTGTGCCACCACTGTGGCGTTTGACCATATCTGTCGCGGCACTCCCATCTGTCCCAAGGAGTGCCATTTTGTGTAAGGCACCGCAGCGCCTAATCATATCCGCCGCAACGCCTAAACCTTTTAAGAAGTTATTCGGTGAACAACAAGTCACAGTGCTACCATTGACAAGTTAGTGTGCCACCATTGATAAGTCATAGTGTCACCATTGATAAGTCATACTGCTTCCATTGACAAGTCATAGTGCCACCATTGACACTTCATTAATAATATATATGACAATATAACCAAAATATAATATGACAGAATAATTAAAAATATCATATGATACTAAAACAAGTTATGTAACTTGAATTCATATTGTTGACAACTTACATCAGCAAATTAATTGACAAGTCACAATGCTCCGTTGACAAGTTATGACAGGTCTAATAATAATGTAGGGTGCAGATAATGACAACTGAAATGACAGCAGAATCTAACATGCCAAGTTACACTAAAACCATTAACAAGTGAATATGTTGTTCATGACAAGTGATTTTATGACTTCATATCAGTAATGATTGACTTTTAATAACTATTCTATATCATATTATAAAAAATGGATTAGTTTTG